ACAGATCGCTGTATCACAACCTCCGACACCATTGTCTCAGAAGACAAATATGGGGGTGCCAGTTTTCGGGTCAGCCTTCCGTGTGGACTTGCGCTGCTTTACAAATCCCTTTCCTGTTCTACTCTTCGTTGGTGGTAGTAGATGTTGGTTCCAATCGATGGAGTTGGCTCCAACTCACAGCGACTCTGTGTACAATGGAATGAAACACTGTCCGGTCCTGCACCATGCTCACTCTTGTCAACTATGTTTGAGGCCATGGTTTGCAGCCAGCGTCTTTCCATCTCAACGAGGAGCTTCCTCTTTGTTGCAGGCTCTCCCTCTACCTTACCAAGAGTAATGTCCTTCTCCAGGGATGGATGACATGTCCAAAGTATGCTAGCTCAAATGTCACCATCTTGCTTCTAAGGAACCTTTGGGCTGTACTTCCAAGGCAGATTTGGTCATTCTCTGGCTACTCCTGGTGTATTGTCAAGACTCTCGATCAACAAGATCATTTTAAGGCATCAACTCTTCTTGGATCTTCGTTACTTATGGTCCATCGTTGACATGCCTAAGAGGCGACTGAAAATAGCATGGCTTTGGTCAGGTTTCTACTCCTTCCCTATTGAAAAATGAGACTTTTTTCCTTCAGAAGAAAATGAAATAAAATTTTGGCACCAGATAACTGTCCATTCTCCCTACAAATCCAGATACTTAGCTATTGTCCTAGACGAGTGGTGATGGAGGCAGGCCAGGTGTCTGGGAAAGAGAAGCTGACATTCTTATTGAGAAGACAGTGGGGGCGGGTGGGGGTGGGTGGGTAGCGGGGGCGAAACAAAGATCTTAGATCAAGAAAAGGTTTCCTCAGGTATCAGGCTTCAAAGACCCAGAACAAAAAATCAAATCAGTGTGAATGAGGGGGAGGGTGGAGTGGAGACCCAAAACCCATCTGTTGACAATTGGACATCCTCTCACAGAAGGATCACAAGGAAGAGACAAGTCAATCTGGGTGCAGTATAGCTCTGATGAAACATACAACTTTCTTCTAGTTCTTTAATGCTTCCTACCCTCCACTATCATGACCCCAATTCTACCTTACAAATCTGGCTAGACCGGAGCATATACACAGGAACAGATAAGAGCTCGCAACACAGGGAATGCAGGACAGATAAACCCCGCAGGACCAGTAATAAGAGTAGTGATACCTGGAGGAGAAGGGGAATGTTGGGGGGGGACGGGGACTGATCACAATGATCAACATATAACCCCCTCCCAGGGCGACGGACAACAGAAAAGTGGGTGAAGGGCGCTAGTGGTTGGAGTAAGACATGAAAAAAATAATACTTTATAAATTATCAAGCGTTCATGAGGGAGGGGGGTGGGAAATGAGCTGATACCAAGGGCTCAAGTAGAAAGGAAATGTCTTGAAGATGATGATGACAAAGTATGGACACATGTGCTTGACACAATGGATGGATGTAGGGATTGGGATAAGAGCTGTAAGAGCCCCCAATAAAATGACTTAAAAGAAAGAAAAGAATCCTTATAGATGGAGAATAACTGTGAAAGACGTTGAGTTCATGCCGTATTTCCCACAGGACATGCCCACCTAAAAGCTCACACCCAGATAAAGCACATAGGAAGCCAACATGGGAGGGGTTGTGGCATTTGGGTGGAAACAACCTTGTAGAACAGGGTGTTATTTGCATAAAAATGCCACATCTGTGGCCGCCCAACAAATGTCTTCAAGTGGCTTTCCAAAATGTAGCTGGGTAGGTTGTTGTCGTTCGCTGCTGCTCCAATCCTTGTGACTTCTTTGCTTGCATTCTGTTTCCTAGGTGGGTATGAGAGACCGGAAACAACTGAAAGACCAGAAACTCTACAAAGAGAAATCGGTAAGAGAATGACAAAGGGAATGGTTTTGGGCCAATCCAATCTCTTTACACACAGCCTGGAGGGCCTCACAGGCAAGAGGTTCCCTTCTGCATCATTGCACAAGCAGAACCTGTATGTTCACGCCATCGATGCTATTTGGAGGGAAACTACTGCCTCCATCACAGGGACACCTAGGTTCCACAAACCCACATCTTGCCTGGGCTGCACAGAGTGGCTCTTTTTCTGACTTGTTGTGGTGCTGGTTGAGAATATGCACAGCAAAACAGGCGCCAATCAAAGTTCTACACATACCAGCTGGTGACACCTTCTTCGACGCCGGCAACCGTTCTCACTCTCCTCTTCTGAGTCGTCCCTCCCACAGGAACATGAACTTCCTATCTAGTATGTCAAGAGGCATTGTCCATTCACTTCCACACAGGTTGTCTAAAAAGAGCACAATGCTCAAACTGGACGTTCCTTACTCGTTGTGCTAAATTGCTGTTGAGTTTAAAGGAGATGTCGAGGGATAGTTTTTCTTTCTTTTCTTAGGTTTTCAAGACTAACCCAAGGACATAGTTTTAGGAGTTCACCTAGTCTCCGCGGCTCCAGCAAGTCTGGATTCCATGAGAATTTGAAATTCTGTTCCACAGTTCCCCCATGTTGATCTGGATTTTTTTTCACACAATCTGTGATCAAAATGTTCAGTATTGGTAGCCAGGCACCATCCGGTTCTTCGAGTCTTATGGCAAAGGAGAGTTTTCAAGATTGCCTTTTTTTTTTCTCCCTGAAGGAGATTTTTCCCCCCTGAGATACCTTTGTTGTTAGGTACTGTCCAATTGATTCCAACTCATGGCAAACCTGTGCACAACAGAATGAAACACTGCCCTGTCCTGCACCATCCTCACAATCACTGTGAGTTTGAGCCAGCCCATTGTTGCAGCACTGTGTCGACCCATCTCCTGGACAATATTCCTCTTTTTTACTGACCCTCTGCTTTACCAAGCATGATGCCCCTTTCCAAGGACTGGTTCCTTCTGATAACATGCCCAAGGTACATGAGATGGAGCCTCAGCATCCTCACTATGATTTACAACATGGATTTGTTTGTTCTGGCAGCCCATGGTATTTTCAGTATTCTTCTCGAACAGCATAATTCAAATGCATCTGCTTGTCTGAACGCTTCCTTACTCATGGTGCAACTTTCACATGCGTATGAAGGTATCCAAAACACCGGGGCTTGGGGCAGGTGCATCTTAGTGCCCAAAATGACAACCTGGTTTGTGAAGGTAACCAGCCCCTAACAAATAATCATGGGTCCGGTAGGCACAAGTGTACAGCTTTAATATATAAAGATTATAGTAAAGTCATAGAGAATCAGAGAGATAGGAGAGAGAGTAAAATAAAGGAGTCAGACACATTTCATGGTAGCATGCTCCCCTCACAGCCCTTCTTGGTGGTCCACGTGGGGATGTGGGAGGAGGAGAGGGCAGGAGAGAGTGACTGCGGGGAAGGAGGGAAAGAAGGAGAGGGAAAGAGGACAGGAGGAGGGAGGACTGGAGGAGAGAGGACCAGAGGAGCAGGGACCTAACCGGAGGGAGAGGTCTTTATTGTTTGGGGGCTTTTATAAGTAGCCATTAGTCATGCATATTCAGGATCTACATACCTCACAAGGTGGGTGGTAATCACAGTAAAGTCCTCACAGGTGAGAAAACCCAATACCTGCATTGGGGGAAGGTATGAGGTAATCAGAGAACGTCTGCCTCTACCAGGGAGACAGAATCAACCATGTGCTCACCTTAAGGGAGTTTAGCTGTTAGGGGAGAATCTGCGGGAATGACATTTGTTAGTTGCCCACACTGGCTCTTCAACACTTTAAAGTCTTGTGCAGCAGATATGCCTAATGCAGTAGGACACCGGTTGATCTTCTTGAGCTCACAGTGCTCCTGTGAGCACTGACTGTGGGACCCGAGCAAAATGAAACCCTTGACCACTTTGATCCTTCCTCCATTTATCTTGTGTTACCTACGTGAACTCCAACCTCCAGCCTTCTGGTTAACAGCGGATGCATGAACTGTTTACACCCCAGAGGCAAGGAAGTCAGGAGAGCCAGTCCTCCCATAAACCACAGTCATTGTTAAAGGGGTGGACCTGGAATTCTTAGGAGCCCTGGTGGTGTAGTGGTTTCACGTGGGGCTGTGATCAGTTAGGAACTACCAGCAGTTCCTTGGGAGAAAGACTGTGCTTTCTACCCCTGTCAATAGTGACCGTCTTGGAAACCCACGGGGGTCTCTGAGTCAGCGCTGACTCCATGATGGAGAAGTCTGTTTGGGTTTGGAATTCTAAGTCCACAAACACTTGGAGGGCTCCCAGACAGTCCCTCAACAAACAGCTGTGCGTATTCCTTTAAGAACCCATGATCTAGAAGTCCTAGCAATGTAAAAACAAACAAACAAACAAACAAAACAAATGGGGGGGGGATATGGGTGGCGAATTGACAGCCTGAGTTACAGAGCGTGGGTGTGGGTGGTGTATGGGGTGAGAAAAAAGTCCTTACAGTCAAAATCTCATTATCCTACAAAAAGAGTCAGATTCTGGGCGCCTTGCTTTGAAGTCAGTATTTCTCATCATGATCGAACTTCAAGTTAGGGATGGTCTTTTCCCTCACTGCTTCCTCTGCACTGCACAGCCGTCAGCCTGACACGCTGTGGTGGCTGACGTGTGGCCGAGTGCGGGAACTTTTCCACCGCTCTTTCAAACACCAGCAGGGTCATCCATGGGGGACAGGTTTCAGCAGAGCGTCCAGGTGACGGCAGATGGGGAAAAAGGAAATCTAGTACACGTTGGCCATGTGGTCAGAAGGGATGGTCCCGAGGAAAAGGAGGACATGGTTGGCAAAGTGTAGGTTCAAGGCAAAGGAGGAAGATTGTCAAGGAGATGGGTTGACCTGGTGGCTGCAACAATGGGCTCAAACTAACAGCGATTGTGAGGAGTGTGCCGATGGGGCAGTGTTTCATCCTGTTGTGCAGAGTTGGAACCAACGCTGCAGTCCCTAAGAACATCCCAACTCCTCTTATTCGATGAAAGACTAACCTGGGACAAAGTCTGAATGTGGGAGAGCCAGCGCTAGAATTCAAGCGTGTCTTATCACACAACCTCTGCTCACGTGCTACTTTCACCTGATGCATTAAGAAATCATTCCACTATATGTGTGTGTGTGTGTGTTTGGATAAATATCACAGGAATGTCATTTGGGGTATCTATTGCTAGTTTATTTCATATATGTGAGATCATTCATTTTCATATATACACACGAGTGATATTTCTGTGCACAGACAGCAGAGATAGAGATTCCATACAGATAGACATGTCGATGTTGTTGTTGTTGTTGTTGTTAGGTGCCATTGGGCCATTTCTGACCCATGCAGACCCTATGCACAACAGAACAAACCACTGGCTGGTCCTGTGCCAATCCTCACCATTGCTCCTGTGCCTGAGCCTGTTGTTGCAGCCACCGTGGCAATCCATCGTCATCCATCAGATTTTGTTTGTTTGTTTGTTTGTTTCCTGGTGCCTATAAAAGTTATATTTAAGGATCCATCTAAGTGAGGTGTTTGCCAAGTCCACACGGAAGAAGCACACCAGCCAGTACGATCCGAGGATCGTAAATAATAAAAGCCAAGACTGGAGGGAGGAATTGTACGAGAGCTTAAATTCTGAATACTGGGTTTGCAGAAGGCTCTGGTCGTGAAAGCCCAAAACGCATTTAGAGGATTAAGTTTCCACTTAATTCCCTCCAACCAATGACCAGGGATGTGCATCACTGCCTTACTGTCAGAGAGAGTGCATTAGAAAGTGGATTCATGCAGATAATAGGCTAAATTTTGGCACCATATCATTTGTTTTCCCCTTTGATTCATTTAGAATGTGTTCTAGCTTTTATTATTTTCTGGGTTGTTGTTTTTTCAGATTGATGTTTTTCTGTGTGTGTGTGTGTGTGTGTGTGTGTGTGTGTGTGTGTGTGATGGTGATGGGATGGTGGATGGTTTTCTTTATACTAAATCCAGGACAGATAAATCTCTAGAGACACTAACTATGTTAATAGTTTCTTAGGGTTATAGCCAGGAAGGTTGAGGGGAAAATGTGGAGCTAATAATCATGAGTACAAGAATGAAGAAATGTTCTAAAATGGATGGTGGTGAGGATTGGACAACTAATTTTCATATATTCAAACCACTGAAACCGAAGGGTGTGTGGATTACTTGTCAATAAAACTGTTCAAATTAAATCAATACACGAGTTGTGTTGACACTCTATTGCCGTCTAGGAAGTGTGGGATAGACAGCTTGTTGGAAAACTTTGAAATCTTATGAGAAGGACCAGAAATGTGGCAGGGACAGGAAGTGTGAGCTTGTGCTGTTGGACAAATGGCTCGGGTTGAGTTGCCTGTGACAAGGGTGCCACACACACAGCTTGTTAAAGAGACGGTAATTTATAATTTATCAAGTGGGAGTGAGGGCAGGCAGGAAGAGGAGCTGATATCAAGGGCTCAAATAGAAAGTAACTGTTTAGAAAAATGATTATGGTGACATATGTACAAATGTTCTCAATACGATGAATGTAGGGCATGTTACAAGAGCTGTAAGAACCCCCAGTAAAATTATTTATTAAAATTAAAGAGAGAGATTAGAAAGGAATAGAAGGTAACAATGAAGGGGAATGCATGAGAACCAGGTAATAATCCTGCTCATCTAACCACCACCGTGTAAATTGTTTTCTAGAAGAAAATGAAGCACTGGACACTCCTTCTTCAAAACCAGGTAATGGCATCAGCTAAGAGGGAGGGTTGAGAATCTTGGAGTTGTTTTAGAAACGAGCGGAGAATTGGAGGGACAGGGGCATGGTTCTAGTCATTCATTCCCCTCTGAGGGTCTACTGGTGCAAAGAGAGGGTTTGGGAGGTCAGACCGTCCTGGGTTCTAAGTCTCACGCCCTCCACATAGATGCTGCAGGCTGGTGTAAAATAGGTCCACCTCTCTGAGCCAGAATCGTGCTCTCTTCGGAAGACATGAAAAGCAGTCATTGATGACGATTTAAAGAGAAACCCACTGCCACGGAGTCCATGCCAACTCCTAGTGACCCCTACAGGGCACAGCAGAGCCGCTCCTGGGGGATTCTGAGACTAGAACTCTTTACGGGAGCAGACAGCCTCATCTTTCTCCTGAGGAGCGGCTAGTGGGTTCAAACGGCTGACCTTGTGGTTAGCCGCCCAACACAGGGCACCACCAGGGGTCGATTTTCACACTCAACAACCCAGCACACTGCCATTAAGCCAGCGCTGATTTGGCAAGCTTCCCAGTGGCTTGGCTTGTGGTTTCAAATTCTCAGCCAAACCCTGACCTCCCTCCCTTCTGCTCCAAGATCTGACGGTTTAGGTTCCTCACTAATGGATGGTTTGGTTTTATTTTTTTCTGGTCTACCACGATGATCAGTTAAGCGCATAGCTGTTAATGAAAAGATAGGTGGTTTGAACCAACCCAGAGACCTGCTCCTGTCAAGATAACAGCCCAGAAAACCCTCGCAGGAGGGAGGAGATTTACCAACAGATGCCCAACATCCAGGAGAGCCAGGCTGTAGCTGTTCAGGTTTGTGGCAGGAAGCTGACCCACAAGACTCTCTTTTTTTTAGTCTCCTGTGTGTGCACTCTTTCTTTTTTTTAAGTTTGACCAGCACCTCATCCACATGTCATACAACTCAGTAATTCCATCATATCCAGAAGAGCTGTACAACTGTCACCTCATTCAACTCTCGGACATTTTCTTCTTCTTCGGACTCATTGCTATTCAGGTCATTTTTTATTTTCTAACTGTGGCAAAAATAGACACAACAGAACAGTCTCCAATGCCACAACTTCTCCATGTACCGTTCAGTGTCATCGATGATACTCTTCAAGGTATACAACCACTATTGATAGCCTTTGCCAAATTCTACTGCCATTGACATAAACTCAATGGCTCCCACTCAACAACTCTTTCCCCTTCACCTATGTCACCATTTGGCCTAGTTTGGTTTCTGTGTGTTTCTTGATATAGTATTCACATATTATATACTTCCATTTTAAATCGCTTTTAAAATGAGTTGTATAATCACAATCAGTTCTAGTGCTCTTCTCCCCCCATCCCAAGACGCTTCTGTTATGAGTAGACTCGGTATTTCTTTTCTTTTCCCTGTGCCCCACTCCCCCCACCTCCAGGCACTAACACGTAAACAATTATAAGTATCCTCGTGAGTAGAGTCAACATCAAGGAGCCTGCTGGCACATTGGTTAAGCACTAGGCTGCAAACTAAAAGGTCTGTGGCTCGAATCCCCCAGCCACTCCAGAGAGAAAGTTGAGGCTGTTTGCTTCTGTAAAGAGTTACAGCTTTAAAACCCCTCTGTGGCCTGTGTTAGGCTGGGGTGACTAGAGAAACAAATTCATGACACACATATATGTGGAAGAAAGAGCTTTCTAACGAAAGTTAGCAAGGAAAGAAGGAAGGAAGAGCTTTATATCAAGAAGCAATTATTTATCAGGAAAACATCCCAGCCCAGTGCAAATCAAGTCCGTAAGTCCGAAATGAGTCCATAAATCCCCCTTGAGACTCATGCAGCCACATGCAATGATGCAGAATGCAGGAAGATCACAGGTTGGTGGATTCAATGGCGGTGGAAGCATCTCCAGGGCTCTGGTAGTAACCAGGGTCAGCCAACAGGAAGGTGAAAGAAGAGAGAGGTCGGAAGTTCCCAGGTCCCTCCTTATGAGAAGGCCATGCCCACAAGGAGATACTACCAGTTAATCTGATTGACAGGCTAAACTCCACCCCTACACGTTTATAGATCTTCAAGTTGACATGACATCATATAACTACCACAGGGCAGTTCTACTCTGTCCTACAGGGTGGCTATGAGCTGTAATTGACTCAGCATTAATGGAATTTGGGGGGTATTCCTCAATCAAGCGTGTTCTTTCATGATACCGTGTGACAGCTGGGAAAAGGCAAGGACAATGGGAATTTGGTGTGCTTTTAAAGCAATGGGGAGGCCCAGTTGGAAGTAGTAAGGCCAAGACTTGAAGGCAGTATGCTCCTGGCTTCTGGTCCGCATTCTGCCAAACTGTCGCGGGTGCCTTTCAGGGACCAAACGGATCCTCTGACCCTTCCTTCCTCCACCAGGCAGCACACGGCTCATCTTTGTCACGGTGTTCACCTGCATCTCCATTGTGCTCCTCTTCCTCTTCATCTTCCTCATCTACAGATGTACCCAGCACAGTGAGTGTGGACAAGCGTGAGCCCCTCTGACTGTGGGGGACCAGCCTCCACAACCGAATGGGTCCAGGGGTGGTTGTGTCACTGAGGGGTAAATTAAAGAGACATCAGGCAAGGCATGCAAGGGCTCACCTCTTCCATGCAACCAGAACCGGAGTGAGGGAGGCATGTATTCTCTCACAGGCGCATATGATCTCAGGCAGGCAAGCCATGTCACACCTATGTAACAGGAAAGGGTTGTATTAGAGAAAAGGGATGAGCTAGGGGTATACCCACAAGAGGTACTAGAGCAATACATGTGACAGGAAGGTATCTATGTAACAAGATATGCGGATTCTAAAGTTATGATGGCAGCCTGACCTTGGTCAACTCAGAGCTGGCTTGGCCTTAAGTGCCCGGAGCTCTTCTCCAGGGGAACCATCTATGATCCTTATCAGAAAGGAATGGGCCCTACTTAGGTTAGATTGCTTGGTCTGATTGCTTTTGATGGCAGATAACCTTCAGGCAGATTGCCTCCAAGCAGATAACTTTCAAGTGTCTAAGGTAGCAACTACATGTATGTGCTTGCAGGCAGCACCATAGGATTGGCATTATTACAGGGGACCTAATGGAGAACAACTTTAGGTAGGAGAACGTGACTGAGATCAATCTCCAACTCAGGAGTGTGAAGGCCTCCCTCCATGAGAGTCTCCTTCCTCCCAGACTCCTTCAGTGTGAGCGCCGAGAATGTGTCCGCTTGCGCTCTCTTCCCGGTTCTCCATTTCACACCGCTGACTGCCATTCTGGGTGGCCCACATGGCTCAGTGCTTTGCTACCAGCTGGGAGGCTGGTAGGGCAAAGCCGCTCAGAGGTGCCACATCAGAAGGGCCTGGTGACCTGCCTCCATACAGAAGTCAGCCCAGGAATCTCCGGGGAACAGTACCACTCTGCACACGATTGGGGAGTGGGGGTGGGGGGTCATCGCAGGTTGGTCACAGCAGAGAAACCCCCCCCCTAAACTGCAAAGCAAACCCACGGCCACTGAGTGGATTTCCAATTTACAGCCACCATCCTCTGTCCCACGGGGTCTCCAGAAGGTGGGCTTGACCCAACAACATCCAAGAGCAATCACACCACGCCCACTGCCCCTGAGCCGACTTGGGTTCCTATGGACCCTGTCAGTCAGGGGGAACAGACCCTGTGGATTCCCGAAGCTGTCCATCTTTCCTGGAGCAGAAAGCCTCGTCTTTCGTCCTGCCCCGCTCCTACGGGAGCAGCCGGTGGATTCGAGCTGTGGACCCTGTGGTTTGCGGCCCAACCAATGCCTAACCCATAGTGCCACCAGAGTTCCCGAATCACCATTAACAACTCACCACCGTCGAGTTGACGCCGACTCAGCGTGACCTGTGTCAGAGAGGAACTGCCTGTGCGGGTTTCCGACGCTGGCGCTCTTCACGGGAGTAGACAGCCTCCTCTTTCTCCTGTAGAGAGGCTAGCGGATTCTAACTGTGGACCCGTGGGAATTTGAGGACCGGGAAGAGCGTGTCTGTGGACAGATTCTTTATTCTCCCCTAATGAAACATTGTCCCCACAGCACCCTCCGGTCATCGTGCTGCCTTAAAGTGACCCCTTCGAAGCACATGTCTAGTGACTATCTGGCAGCTTTAACCAGAGAAGCAGCCGAGTTGCTAGTGCACTCCCCGCTCCAGGGGGATAAGATACTGCCCTCCTTGTTACGTAGGTAGGTGTCTGTGGTTGGGGGGCTTGCATGCCCCGAGACTCTAGACGTTGGTGTAAGAATACATTCTCTCTCTCTCTCTCTCTCCTGCTTGGAACTGGCATCATGGAGGAGGTGAGCACCCCAATACTTCTGTCTGCCTTTTTATTTCTGCCTTTCAATGACACAGCTATCCCTTAGGATCCATCCGGATTTGGGCTGGACAGTAGCCTAACCCTAATGGCGACACCACCAGAATCAGTGGTGGTGTTAAAAACAAAAAAGAGACCTCCCAACTCACTTCCATGGATTGATTCCGACTCACGGTGACCCTGTCGGACAGAGCCCTGCCCCTTGTGGCTTTCAGGGGCTGTAAGTCTTTAGGGGAGCAGACAGCCTCATCTTTCTCCCTCTGAGTGAATGGTGACTTTGAACCTTTTGCCTTGTGGTTCAAACCCATCATGTAACCCACTCCTCCACTGGGGCTCCTTCAGCAAAGAATACCAAGCCCAGACTCACCGTCATCGTGTGATTCCGACCCGACAGGACAGGGCAGGGGAACCCCTGTGGACTTGCGAGACTGGAACTCTTGATGGGAGTATAAAGCCTCATTGTTCTCCCTCGGAGGGGCTTGTGGTTTCAAACTGCTGGGCTTGTGGTGGGCAGCCTCCTTTAGCAAAGCATAACGAGGTGGCCCAGCTATCAAGCGCTTGGACGCTGCGTGAAAGGCCGGCGTTTCGAACCCGTGGTCGCTCTGCGGAAGAAAGCCGTGGCAGTCGGCTTCAGTCGAGGGGACAGCCTGGGATACCCTGTGGGACAGACCCACCCCGAGTGTTAACAGCAAGCGGGGTATCCGGCTGGTGTTTAGCACAGCGTGCAGTTCTGCGCGGTACCACACGGGGCGCCAGAAGCCCAAATCCACCCTGGGCAACAGGTGTGTCGGTTGTTTGCAGAGGGGCCCCAAACCCAAACCAAATTGACTTCTATTGAGTCCACTCCGACTCATCGGGATCCCATAGGACAGAGCAGAACTGCCCCTGTGGAGTTCCGAGACCAACTCTTGCAGGGGCAGAAAGCCTCGTCTTTCTTCGCTGGAGCCGCTGGGGGTTATAGCAGCTTTACCCAAGGGCTCCCTTCGAGGGGAAAGTAAAAGATTTTACTTTTCCTCATTTACCTAATGATAGAACCCTTCGTTTGTTGCTTTGTTTTTGAACAGATTCAGCACCTGGAGAATCCACCGAGAGGTAGATATTCTTGTCACATTGCATGTTCCAACTCAACTTCTGCTCCATTCACCAGAGGTGACCAGCAAGCCCAGCCCTGCCTTGACCTTCTCCTCCAGCCTCTCCCAACCCTTGCTCTGACTTTGCTCCGCTCGTCCCGCGGTGCCCTACCGTTCGTTTTCTGATCGATCCCATCCTTTATTGGGGTTCTCTCCCACAGGGCCAGCTGTGCCGAAGTTCCCGATGAGGAGGCCCCAGGTGAGCGAGGGCTCATAGACTCGGGATGGAAAGATCAAAGTCTCACGCCTGCAACCTGAGAACTGCTGTATCCACCCCACCCACCCCCCATGCCCCACATGCTCACACATGGATTTATTCCGACCCAGAAAGGTCCCCTGCCATCTGGCGGTCTCTCTTTGGAATTCCCCAGGGACTCAGTTGGGAAAGGGGAAAAAAAAAACTCCCTGGCTGGCACCCTGGTAGACCAGTGGAACCTCTAAAAATGTGTCCCTCTGACACCTCTCAACCCTGGGACAGGGGACGGGACCCACCCCCAGGCATCACCTCGTGTAGCCAACCACCAGAAAGGCCTACAGAGTGAACAAGAGCACCGGGAGATTGACCTCTCCTGGATTTCATTTGCAGAAAACCATGCAGAAACAAAACTGGGGGAGGGGTGGGGGTGGGGGTGAGGGTGTGGCATCAAGGGCTTAACAGAAAACAAATGACTAGGCAACCGACAAGCGGGTGAAGGGAGACACCGGTCAGTTTAAGACATGGAAAATAATAATTTATAAATTATCAAGGGTGGGAGGGGAAATATGAGGAACTGATAGCAAGGGACCAAGTAGGAAAAAATGTTTTGAAAATGATGATGGCAACCTATGTCCAAATGTGCTTGACACGATGGATGGATGGATGGATGGATGGATGGATGGATGGATGGATGGATGGGTGGATTGTGAGAAGAGCTGTCTAAGCTCCCCAATAAGATGACTTTTTTAAATGTCTAGAAAATAATGATGGCAACATAGGTACAAATGTGCTTGACATCATTGATGTATGGATTGTTATAAGAGCTGTTAAGAGCCCTTAATAAAATGTTGGGGTTTTTTAAATGCCAAAAATATTAACAATAACAAGGTAAAACAGATGAAGCCCTTGATCGAAAAGAAAGTAGGAGATATTAAAAACGAGAACAAATTTAAATGGATCCTAAAGGACATCAAATGAGAGGGTTTAACCCAACTGCCTCTGATACAGTCCGATTTCCGATGCATTTACTGGCACAACCCTCTAGAGCAGCAGTTCTCCACCTTCCTCATGCCAAGACCCTGTCATGCAGCTCCTCATGTGGTGGTGACCTCCAACCAGAACATTATTTTTGGCGCTACTTCATCACTGTCATTTTGCTACTGTTAAGAATCGTCATGCAAATATCTGATAGGCAGGATGGATTTTCATTGCGACAAATTGAACATAAAGCAAAGTGATGAATCACAAAAACAATGTCATTTTGTATGGTGAAATATTTCTTTCTAATGACAAATCAATGAAATTTTATCTTGAAGCATAGTGTACCATGGGTAACAGTCTGCACACGGGGTACTCGTACGGGGGCATATCTGCATGTGGGTGGACCCGCCTGGAGATGGATAGAGGAGTGGTCTCTCGGTTCCTACCATCAGAAAGATGTGTTTCCGATGGCCTTAGGCGACCACTGTGAAAGGGTCATTCGACCCCCAAAGGAGTCACGACCCACAGGTTGAGAACTGCTGCTCTAGACAGTGCTTCCACGGTGCCACCAGGCGGGTTCGAACCATCAACCTTTAGGTTAGCAGCCGCCACCAACCACCAGGACCACTGGGAGGAGGCAGTGGAGGAAGGTAAGCCTGGATCCGCTTTATAGGTCTCTCTTCCTCAGAGTCTGCAGACCTGGGAAGTGACCTAGAGCCAAGGTGAACTCAAGGATGCTGTGCGAGCCAGCGTGGCTCTTCACAGGGAGCCCGTACACCCCGACGACCGACGGAGTGGAAGGGAGCCGTCAAGAACCACTGGAGAAGCGCTTCATGGATTGAAACAGCTGGGGCGATTGGAGATATGGAAACCACCTCATCCCCCACAGTAACCACAATACATTACTCTCTCCTTCTCCTTCTTCCCCCCTCCCCACGTGCACACCTCTCACAGGTCACTGGGTGGATCTTCAGGAAATTGAGATTGTGCGTTGGATAGGTAGGAAGATTGCGGGGGTGGGGGGGGGCACCACCGAATGCCAACGCTGAACAAAATGTAACTGACCATGCCACAATAAAGGAGTTGGAAAGCAATCGGCCACACATTAGACACTTGTGGGGACCATCCAAAGATGGGCATGCTCAGACCAAGGTCACCTAGGTGCAGGTGCAGGTCAGCCTGGGCATGCGCACTAGTCACACGTGTGCCTGAACCCAGCCACTAAGAACAGCCAGTACCTCCACCACGCCCCCTCGAGGGAAGGTCCAAGGGGATAAGAAGCAGACAGCAAGGGCAGTCCCTCTCTGGTTCCCCTACTCCTTCCACGTGGTATTTCACGCTCCCCTGAAGCAGCTATCTTTGGTCAGGAACTCTCCCATGCCCCACGCCCCCACGATGCAGCCTTGCAGACTTTCCAGAGGGAGGGTGTGCTGTCTGACACTGTACTACCCTTTGCCTCAATAAAAGTTACTTGGATTTCCAAAAGTGCGCCTGCCGCCTGAATATATAACGCACTCTGAGGAGCGCAGGGGATTGGACGAATGGCTACGGGGGGGAGGAGCAACCTTGTCTGGGAGGGGCTGTGAGGGGTAGAATCTGCCTCCAAAGAATATGTATGGGAAAAATCCTAAGCCCTTTGTCTGAGGTAGGAACCCTGGGGTTGCAGTGGAGAGGCACTGAGCTACTGACCCAAGATGTGTGTGTATTGGGGCAGGGCCAGGGGCAGGTGGGGACAGTGAGTTGTGGCAGTCTGCTTCCCAAAACATTGAGTCTTGGCACCACTCCTCCCGTCCTACAGGGTGTCTATGAAGGGGAATCGGCTCTGGCAATGGACTTGGATTGGGGCCCTTCTATGTGATGATAATCCCACCTAGGGATGGGTTTCCTGTGTCGTGTTGACGGGGTGATCGGTATTCGTGTAGGGTATGTCTTGAGTTGATCTCTTTTTAAGTTATAAAAAGAGCCGATTCAGGGCGAAGCTGGGGGACGAGAGATGCCACCCCACATGAAGGTCACCCCAGAGTCCAGGAACAGAAGATGAAGCATCTAGAACCTTCCTCCAGAGCTGACAGAGAGAGCGAAAGCTGGGGGACCAGTCTCCACAACCGACTGGGTCCAACGGAGCAGTTGTGTAATTGAGAGGTAAAGAGATATCAGACAAGGCATGCAAGGGCTCACCTCTTCCATGGCAACCGGATTCCGAGAGAGTCATACATTCTCTCACAGATGTATAATCTAGGGCACGCAAGCCATGGTAAGTGCATATATAACAGGAGGGGGTTGTATTAAAGGCATACACGTAACAGGAGGGGGACGAGCTAGGGGTTTACATGCAATTGGAAGGAGAGGCACTAGAACAGCAGTCCTCAACCTGTGGGTCTCGACCCCTTTGGGGATCGAACGACTCTCTCACAGGCGTCACCCAAGACCATCGGAAAACACATTTCCCATGGTCTTAGGAACTGACACACCCCTCCTCCCTCCGTCTCCAGGCGGGTCCGCCCACATGCAGATACACCCACATACAAGTCCCTGGCGTGAGACTGTTACCTATGCTACACCATGCTTCAAGACAAAATTTCATTGATTTGTCATTCGAAATAAAGATTTCACCCTATAGAATGACATTGTTTTTGTAATTCATCACTATGTTTTAATTATGTTCAATTTGTAACAATGAAGATCCATCCTGCCTATCAGATATTTACATGACGATTCTCAACAGTAGCAAAATGACAGTGATGAAGTAGCAACAAAAGTAATTTGATGGTTGGGGGTCACCACCACATGAGGAACTATATTAAAGGGTCACAGCATGAGGAAGGTTGAGAACCGCTGCACTAGAGGTGTACATGTGACAGGTAGGTACGCATGTAACAAGATGGGTGGGCTCCAGAGTTAAGATGGCAGCCTAACCGTGGTGGTCTCTGAGCTGGCTTGACTTTGGATCTCTGAGCTCTTCTCGAGGGGATTGATCAGTGATCTTTATCGGAAGAGAGTGGGCCCTACATAGGGTGAGATAGTCTGGCAGAGAGCCTTCCTTCAGTTGACCTGCAGGTGTATAGAGTGTGCTTGCACACAGCGCCATAACACTGGCATCATTACAGGAGCTATCTCGGGGAATGACTTCTACTTAGGAGAATGTGAGTGGAGCACATCTCCAGCCCATGAACAAGAAGGTCCCGTCCACTGGAGCCCCGGCCTCCCAGACTCCTGAACACATGAATGTGGAGAGTTTGTCCCCCTGCGCTCTCTTCCCTGTTCTGTTTCCCTCACCCTGGCACTCCCATTCCCCAGGTCTGGCTGCCTGAACTGAGAAAGGAAATGGGTTTGCTAAAGCAGTCCACTTATGGTAATTCTGTGACCGCAGCACTAGCCAATCAAGACCAGGGGCACTGAATCCTGTGTGGGGCGGGGTGGTCGAGAGAGACAAGACCAGACACGGTCATGCACAGATAAGGAAGGACTCGGTGTGGATCGAGAAGCACCTTCATTCTAAGCAGGCATCCCAGCCCAGTCCAACTCAAGTCCGCGGGTCCAATGCTAGCCGGAGTCCCCGTCAGACACACTGTGGCGTTCCAGCCCCCACAATCGAGTGGGTCCAAGGGGCAGTTGTATCATTGAGGGCTAAACGTAAAGAGACATCAGACAAAATAAAGCACGCAAGGGCTCACCTCCGGGACCATCATGACCCCAGGAGCCAGATCCACTCAGACAGAGAATGTGTTTCCATCCAAGGCTTATATACACTCTAGGGGCGGTGTCTCCGTTCTTGGGTAACAGGAAGGGGTTGTACAATAGGCATACGCATGACAGGAAGGGGACGAGCTAGGGGTATACACGCAATGCTAGCCGGAGTCCCCGTCAGGCACACTGTGGCGTTCCAGCCCCCCACAATCGAATGGGTTCATTATCGAGGCAGACTAGCAAAAGACGCTCCATTTTCGTCAGCTGTTAAGTGACTTACCTATGCCTCCCTCCCATCTCAGAAAGCTGACTGCTAGTTGTCCTAATCATTCTCCCTCCCCTTACAGGAAAGTCTCTGCTAGTGATTAATTTTAGCATGTTCCCAGGTTCAGGACACTATGATTAGTTTCAACTATTCTTCTATATAGCATTTGTTTTGATTATTTTTCAATATTCTCCCCTTGTATGTTGTCATCTGAATGGTGTAGCTAATCTTGTCATGACACAGGACGTTCTCATCCATTTCAGTATAGTTCAATGGTGCTCCACCTTCCTCATGCCACGAAGTTCCTCATGTGGTGGTGACCCCCAACCATAAAGTTATTTTTGTTGCTCCTTCATCACTGTCATTTTGCTGCTGTGATGAATCAGGCAACCCCTGTGAAAGGGTCGTGCGACCCCCAAAGGGGTCGCGACCCCTAGGTTGAGAACCACTGGTCTAGTTTCCTTCATGATAAGAAGTGGACCTTGTCATGCCTACCTACTCCTCTTGAAGTGACAGTTGACCCATTAATTTCCCCTGCTGCTCTGTCCACGCTTGCTGGAACCCTAGACAGGAGACAAATGACTTTTTGGCCTTAACGATGGACCAAGACGTCCACTCAGGGCTGTTATGAGGGGAAACGTCTTTAGTTTCTCAGTAGCCCAGCTAGCTGAATAAAGACTTCTAAATTTGAAGACATGATCGTGGCTGTCCTTTATTTGAACCCATAGCATCATCTACATTCTTTCTGCATGACAGCGAGGCTGTTCCCCATTCCCGGTATGTGATCAGGGGGGATTCCCCAGAGGCTTCATCCACGCAGACAGATAGTTGTGAAAAGAACAGACTGTTCAAGGCAGACATTAACAAGAAAGACAAAAGACAACGAGTAACAGCAACAAAAATTGTTCCCACTGCTGTTGTTGGTAGGTGCTAGGGAGCCGTCTCTGACTCCTGGCAGACGGGCCTGGTGCACCACGAAACAAAACACAGTCCTGCACCACCCTCACCACCCTTATGCGTGAGTCCCTGGTCACAGCCAGTGTCAAGCCATCTCATGGGGGGCTTCCTCCTTATCGCTGCCCCTCCACCCTACCTTGCAGGATGTTCTGTGGGAAACAGGGGCCCGGGGAAGAGAGTGTGCGGACAAATTCTTTATTCTCCTATTTAAGAAGCCTGCCAGGCAGGGTTCTGGATGGAGGGAGGCCTTCACCCTTGTGGGTTAGAGATGAGTCCCAATCACCTTCTCATGACTGAGGTGAATCCCTACAATGTCCTCCCATCATCATGCTCCTTTAAAGTAGCCTCTTGTAAGCACCTGGCTGATTGCTCTCTGGCAGGCAGCTTTATCTATAGGAGGAAACATGTTGCTATTGCTCTCCCTGCTCAGGGGACAGTCACTCCCCCTTACCTGCCCCCAGCACTGGTGTTAGGTTACTCTCCAATGAACTCAGGGACCTTTAGGGTTAGGGTACTGCCCACTTTGTTACCTATGTGGTTACCTGTAAATAGGGGGGCTTGCATGCCGGAGCCTATACAAGTTGGTGTAAGAATACATTTTCTCTCTCTCCTGCTCAGACCTGGTTCCAGATACACTGGAGGTGAGCCCCTGAAAACGTTTGTCTATCTCCTCATTTCTTCCCTGCGATGACACAACCATCCATCAGGATCCGTCTGGATGTGGGGCTGGATCCCACCACGTCCTTCTCTAGGGCCTGGTCTTCCATGACAGTATGTCCGAAATCCTTGTTGACCAGTTTGTACCTGGAATAGCTAAATCCTGGTTTGGCTTTTAAGACAACTTCAGGTGATGGTTTCGGTTGAAGGTTTAAAGATGATCTCAGGGCAATAACTATTTCGTGGGGAGAAGCGAGGGGGTTCATTCAGCATACATGGGAATTTAAAACTCTGTCCTGCGTGTTCCTCGTTTTTGATCAGGACCCTGCCATAGGATCACGTGTCTAAATATTCAGTGATGGTGGTTGGGCACCATCCAGTTCTTCTGGTCTCAGGACAAAGAAGGCGGCTGCAGATTGTGTGAGTCCGGGTGGACTAGAGA